GTCTCGAAATTTAAGACTTCGAGAAAACCGGTTACAGGAAAAATTGATCCTCCTTGCCACCTTCTTTCGTCGACTCCCATACAGATGTGGAAGCCACCCAACTACCATTTTGCTTTCTCTATGGACAGAAGTTATACCCTATTATTTCAACTTTGAAAAATATTTAAATAGGTGTGGGTGTAAAGGGATTTTACAAGTCTGAAAGATTGTGGAATTATTCCTCTTGAGGGGATTTTTACACTAATAACAAATATGAAAAATAATAAATAAAAGACAATTTTATGTTTATAACTTTATTTTATCATTTTTATACATAACCTCCACAAAAATTCACAAAAATCATAAAAAAATTCATTAAAAATTTTAATAAAAATGTGATAATCATGTATAAATTATATTAAAATAAATTAGAATGTAAAAAACACTTTGAACAAAGACTAGGTGTTTACATTATTGTACGACCCGGATAAGACCGGGCTATAAATGGTTTTAAAACAAAAAAGGTCTGAAAAGAATGCGGAAAAAAAACCTCCGGCCACAGATGGGGAAAAAAAACCCTTGGAAAAATTTTTGGATCAAAATCTGAACAAGACTAGGATATTATTTTATCCACCCGTATAAACAATTTTCAAGGGGCATAAAAGATTTGAAAGGAACCCTGAAAATATGTACTCAAAAATCATGGTCTACAGTGGGTATAAGAAACTGAAAAAGGGTAACAATCTTTTTTATCGAAAATAAATACCGTGGGTATAAAAAGTGGTGAAAGAAAAACTGAAGAAAAGACTGCGGTTTATGGATTTTATTTCTAAACGCGAACAGAAGAGGAGTCACCTCTAGGACGTCGGACCAACTTCGCCGCGCTCGGCGAGCCGATATCCAGGCTATACAAATTGTATGAAACAACATGACTCTACAGTCGTAATACTCGCCAATTCGAAAAAGGGTAACAAGTTTTTTCTTTGAAATAATGTGATGCTATAGAAAATCGGTAACGTCTGGAAAAGTAGTGGGGAAAAACCCTGTTAAAATTTTGTGGGACCAAAGACTGCGATACATTTGTTTTATAGCACACGCAGAAACGAAGATGTAAACAATGCTCGTCTTTTCTCGGTTTCTGTCCGAATTACAATTGATCTTAGTTAGCCGGTAATTTTTTTCTTTAACTTCTATTTTTTTTTATTTTTTAATGTGTTAACTAATTTATACGCACACACGAGAGTGGCAGTCACCGACCTCTAAGGACGTCCCGACCACTGTGCGCCGGCGCTGGAGGATACCGGCTGTCAAGGTTGTAGCGACTCCCGACTCGACCTCCAGGTCGCCCCCCGCGTCCCGGCCTCCTGCCGCCGGCCTCTTCCGGTTTTCTGCAGCTGGACCGAATGCTTTCGACGGTCTTTCTCCGACCCCAGGCACCACTCCCTCAGCGACGCGACTGGTGGGCGCGCGCCGGGGTTTTGACCCGGAGCACGACGTCCACTCCCGCTTCGCGGAGCGTCACCAAACTTTTTTCGCTTTTTTCAGAACTTTTACATTTTCTTTATACAGCTATTTGTTACCACAAAATTCTGTACCCCTTCTTCTCAGGTTTTATACACTGTAGGACATGGAGTTTCTAAAATTTTTTAGTCTACTTAATCTTTTGTGCCTTGTAAAATGTTTATACTGTACTGGCTTCAATCAATAATACCAGTCTTTGCGTGACTCCTCTCTGCGGGTGGGTAATAAAGTTTACTAAAGCTTGTTCTCCGCCTATAATTGGCGCACATCATCAGTCCCACCCCAGCGCGTTGGTTCGCCGAGCAGAATCCGGGGGCCGACAATATACGAAAGGGAGGATTAATACGAGGGGACACCGCCTGATAAATTTTATTACTTTGAAATAAATATATGGCGTGGAAAAGGGACCGAGAGGCTTAGAGGTCCGGTAAACAGGAAGGGGTACTGGGGCTACTCGTCGGAGTATCCTTCACTTTGCTCTCGGGGCGGACGGCTGGCTGACAATAGGTCAGAATATATTGTGGTAGCGTACGAGTTTATTATTTGACATAAAGATACTCGTTTTTTTCTTTTTTTTTGTAAATTAAAATAAAAAAATTCAACGGATAGTAGGTAGGAATGATAGCCGTAAACGTTGAACTACTGCAATGTCTTCGTCAGACTCAACATAACAGCCGGTATGCCCAAGTAGCCGTCAATACTCGCCCCCGGGGGTTGGGGACGAGTGTTGTGTGCTAACCCGTCGCCCGCCGGGACATCGGCATCTAGGTAGAACCCGAACCAGTAGAATTTTCAGTCGAGGGGTTTACGACTTTTTCCCACCCCCGTGGGGACCGGAGTCACCGAAGTAAATTTTTTTTGGTCATGTTACTAATCCAATTTTTCAGGTGATGTAGACAACACACACAAGTCCACGACCGTTCCCGTCCTCCTCGTGCCCACCTGCGTCGCTGACGCGAGGGGGCCCCAGGCTCCGGAAGCCCAAGACTTTCGTCGCAACCCTCCTCCGCACTTGGTTCCGCCGGCTGCGCCACTCCAAGCGACGGGGTCCCTTTTGTTCTCAAGTTCCCGGCCCCTCCGACCCCGCAAGGGACTCGCGCCTAGTCCTCGGCTCACCACCTTCCTGGGACCCCCGGGCGGTTCTCCTTGCACCACAGCGAAGCGATGGGGGTCTCCTGATGGTCGGGAAAGCTACCACTCCTCTCCTGCAATGAATCAATCCAATCCGTAACAATCATCCAATGAACGTTGGAATCGATCGAATCAATCGATGGATCAATCGTAGAAGTCGATCCAAGTGAAACCGTTGAATCGATGAATCAACAATGGTAATCAAATGTAGAAGTCATTCCAAATGAAAAAAATCTATATATATATTGCATGAAAACATTGATCTATCAATTTAATCAATCGATAATCAACAATCGTAGAAAGTCATTGCGACCCCGACCGGTTTCCTCCTTGCACCCACAGGCGTAGAGGGGCTCCTGATGGCCCGGGAGCAGTAAAACTCCGTTTTGTGAGTATCTGTCACACTACAAAATATATAGGACTCTGGATATTAACTTATGGATTTTATTCTATCTATCCTCTTGCGCAAATTTTTGCAGAAACCCGCTGATCGGTCGCATTATTAGCCTAAAGATGACCACAAGTGAAACTGAAACTTGTTTTGGTTCGAAAATTTGCCCTTTTTTCACCGACAGGGTTTGGTGTCCCAACTTGGCGTTTTTAGAACAAGGTAGCATTCTGAAAATAATAAGTACTGTTGTTATAGAGTTATGCGGTTTTAGTCCGCTGCTTAGATTGTACAATAAACCCCCGGAAAAAACACACTTTCAACCACCTTTGTAAAAGAGAATAGTGAGAGTGGTCCACCTTCATTCTAGTCGACTTTGGTTAATCCTTTTTGTATGTAAAGATTAGTACTATCCTGGTTAAGCCGGTGTTGTACACAAGACTAACCAGAATTTCAGAACTCGACATCACTTTCTATATTAATATAGTATATTACGTTGTTAGTATTATGCTTTTACCAAATCACGGCAACACATCTTTATTAGTCAGTTTATTTTAGGATACCGGATATTGTAACACTCTAATACTAAATCAACATAAAGAGGGTATTTTATTAGTAATTTAATAAGGGTCGGTTCTTAGGTTTGTTTTTCATTTACGAATTAGAGACATTTATCACAAAAGTACAATTCCGCCGTTCGTTACAATAAAAACACAAATGGAACTGGAACACTGTACGTCCACATGCACGGTCTCAATGGTGGTCCCGCCAACGATCCGGCTGACCGTCGTAGAATAACTTACCTGCTACCATCAGATCTCTCCCTACTCTGACTTTGTTCAAGCGTGCATTGTCGTCTCACCTCAAGGTTGAATGTTTTTGTATGACCTGAAGTACTTTATTTATTGTTTAAGGGTTGTTGAGGCTCCATCTTATTTCACCATCTCCTCATGAGATGACCCACCTATTGCCCATTTCTAAGTCTTTATTTCTAAGTCTTTATTGTTATGATTTTGTATATATAGTACAGCTACTCTACTTTACTCTACCCAATGATATGCATTCAATGTAACCGCCTATAATGTATTACCATGTGCTGTATGCTTAGGCTGAATGTTTGTAATTTCTTGGTTATTTCTTCCGATGTATGTGTGTGAATGTTGTTTGTATGTTGTACTTGTTTGTTATTTGTTTTCTTGGGACCCCCTTGAAAACGAGGTGATTCACCTCAAGGGGTTTATCCTAATAAAGAAATTTGAATATATGTCGGGGGCGGGAGATTCATGTGATTGGTTGTTGGTCGCGTTGCTCGCAAAAAATCGGCAAGCTTCAGACACGCCCAGCTTCAAGATTTTTTGATGCCTGGAGTGTAGACGGGCCTTTAGGGTTTGGAAAAGCCTGTTTGCTAACCCTTGGTTACCTCTTTGTCTGAGAATGTGTTCTGCAGAGAGTTTGAGATCAACTAAAGCATGCAAACTTTTGAACTAATTTAAATGGACTACATTTTATAATTAAAAACAAGTTGCCACTGAAGATGATGAAAGATAATGGTAACTGACTGTGAAGAATTTGTGCCAATTAAGACCCGTGTCCTATAGATTCTCTTTGCATTGCTTGAGAAGACTTTCAGGGATCTTCCTCATTTGTTTTAATTAAACAAAGTGCATTTTTATTCTTGTTGGATTTGTTTTAAAAGCAGTGTCCAAAGGGTCCATTTCTATTATCAGAGTGTACTTTTCCATGTGTCTTCATGTGTTTGAAGACAATTCTACAGTTGCTTTAGCTTTAATTCAGTCCAACTTCTACAATCGAGAATACTTTTGAGATTAATCTGCATTCCTAGCAGAAAGTACTAATATGCATAAATGGGAGAAAAAATACATGTTTAAAAATGGTCCCATCAAACATAAGCAGCATTCCTAAGTGGAACAGAAGCTGACTTATATTTTTATTATATATCATATTTCTTTTTTTCTGAATTTGTTCATACGTTACATGTTTAGTTTTCGTGCACTAAATGTTAAATCAAGTTTTTAGAGAGTCAATCAAGTGGCCGAATAAATGAGTAAATAACTTGAGTCCTTAGCACTGTTTTATCTGCCATTTCTCTTAATAATGCAAGGGCTTTGGTCACTCTAACAAATGCGCTTACATTGCATCTTAAATACTATCTCTCAGTTTACTTGTGCGCTAATGAAGTGAATACAGACATTGTGTGCAGGACCATGAAATAATATTTCCGGATTGCTTACAAAGCAATTTAGACCGGCTGTGCTGAGCTCATGGCTTATAAAATGGATAAAGTTGTAAATGTCAGTCTGTTTCTGTCTTTCAACAGAGGAAGAGTTTACATTTTTTTTATCCCAGTTTATACATTTGTAGCTGTGTTAGGTTCATTAGTGCAAGCGGTTATTTAAAAAAAATATATATATAGAGGGGTACAGAGATTGGTATTTTTGTAGGTTAACACAACAGTTAGCATATTCCTGGTTCCCTCGACTAAATGCCAATGGGATTTCTCCATTGGATTTCATCTAAGTTTAAGGCAGCTAATGTCGGGCTATAAAGGAACTAGAGCGCGGTCACATGACTTCACGTCACCACGCTAAGCTAAAGGTGGCTAATGTTGGGCTATAAAAAAAAGCCGCTAAGCTAAAGGTGGCTAATGTTGGGCTATAAAGGAACTAGAGCAGGGTCACATGACTTCACGTCACCACGCTAAGTTTAAGGCAGCTAATGTTGGGCTATAAAGGAACTACAGCACGGTCACATGACTTCACGTCAGCACCGCTAAGCTAAAGGTGGCTAATGTTGGGCTATAAAGGAACTAGAGCGCGGTCACATGACTTCACGTCAGCACCGCTAAGCTAAAGGTGGCTAATGTTGGGCGTGATGACATTTAGTCGTCTCATTTAGAAAGTTGTTAGCATCCACTGTTTTTTTTATTCACCAGTGGGGGATTTACAGACGTTTTTAATGTCGTAAAACACAAAGACCTGGAAGTGGTGAAATGCTGACTCATTTCGGGATTTAAGGACTCATTCCTGCACCACTCTATTGTCCAGGAGTGTTTTTAGAGCATTGGTTTATTGATGTGCTGATACTTTGAACCCCCCACTTACAAGTCTTAGATACTAATGCACTCCTTTAATGTACAGATGAGCGGTTCTTTAGCACTGCATCCTTTAATACCTACAGTATCCATGCCAGGGATTTTTTTTCCGCATCATCCCCACGTAACTAACCCCACCATAATAACCCCCACCATAACTAACCCCACCAGTAACTAACCCACCTGTAACTAACCCCACCAGTAACTAACCCCACCAGTAATTAACCCCACCAGTAACTAACCCCACCAGTAACTAACCCCACCAGTAACTAACCCCACCAGTAGCTAACCCCACATGACCTTAGGAGAGGTTCACAGCAGGAGCCAGCAGACGGGTCCCCTCTCAGGGAGCTTCAAGAGGTCATAGGAGCATCACTCGAAAACTTTGGCAAGGGTATCCTCCCATCTGTTGGAGAAAGAAAGTGCCGTCCAATGCTTGGCCGTCCCATTGACTGGGGCATGGAGGCAGTGGGTTAGCGGAGGCAGACCGAGCACTCCTGCCAACAGCTGCTTCCCTGCAGAGCGTTCGGTTTGGACCCTCCATCCTCTTCTTTATTTGAGCCATGCCTTCAGCGCGCCAGATAGCATTTATTGCATATTTACATATATACGAGGGGTCCCTATTTTGATACCTTTTCAAGCAGCACACTCTGTATTGAGATTACATGAGACCGAGGAGAGACAGTGAGAGATGTTATCCCGTCTTGAAATCAGAAGATAATAGTGGGCAATCTAGAGTTATTGCCAATACAATACCAACAAAAAAGAAAGGTATTGCTACGAAAGTACAATTGACACTGTCATTCCACATCCTCAATAAAGTGAGAGTGGTAAATGTCTCAGGTTTTCTGGAGACAGCTATGAAACCTTAGATATGTCATAGCTTACAGGTGTTTTCAGGGGAATAAACCACCATATACTACTGGAAAATGAAGTTTATTTTTGAACATGGGTTTAAGTTCATGGTGTAAGGAAGGGATGACATCAGGGTTGTTTGTTTCACTGTTTGTATGGCCCAGTTTCAATCTAATTCCAGTCCATTATGCACTTTGTAGAAGGCTGCTAAATGGTGCAGCTATTAGAGGATGGTTCTTTTGGCCCTTAGGGAGTTTGTCTTCGTTGAAAGCCAGGATAGGGAGTGCTACTTTAAAGAAATGTAACTGATGCAATTCTACCTGTAAAACATTTTGATCACATAACAGGATTATAGTAATCCCCAATTATTAGAAATATACCAGTAATCTGATGTGTTTGATGTACCTTCAAGGGAATGCACTTACCTTGTTAATGTATTCTGATTACATAATCCTATTACAAGCCTGTTTGAAGCTTTGGTATTTGCAACTGGCTCTGGCAGATTCTGGGCCTATTACTAGCAAATGAAACACATTGTGAATTTTCCTTTACTGTACTCGTGCAGCTGTTAATATTAAAACTCTCCCAGCAGAAGAACCTGTTCTCATTATCTCCTTCTGATAATCTCATGTGAAATTTGCAGATGAGGGCAGAGGCGTACAGTATGCGGCGTGTCCTGCTGACTTGTTCTGGCAAATCTCAACCTTCTCATGGGTTAAGTCTCCCTGCAGCCTGAAACCCACAACTCATGCGGCTGCCAGCATGATAGATGGCCACACAACCGATTAACCATGTTTTACGCTCGCTTGAATTAGATAGATAGTATTTCTGTGAGACGGGAGGATTACGATGTGCTGTTTCTCACTACAGCAGCGCCTCTGTTGTCTCTTCCTATTTCGTTTCATTTCTAGACAAACGCGTACAGACACATACACTCAAACAGGGCTGTTCTCTATAACAGAGTAAACACTGCATGCCTGGCACACACTGCTGTTACATTGACATTGTAGTCTGTGCCAAACCCATGAATAATATAGTATAAAATAATCCAAGACATGTTGAACTGTCTCAATTGGCTCTGCTGTGACAAAAGAATAAATGGAACTAGAGCAGGGTCACATGACTTCACGTCACCACGCTAAGCTAAAGGTGGCTAATGTTGGGCTATAAAGGAACAAGAGCAGGGTCACATGACTTCACCTGAGACTGCCAAGGCACACNTTATGGATATTTTACAAATCAATTTAAAACCTATAATTGCACACTAAAATCATTATTTCAAAAAATAACTATTTCACATAAACGTCTAGTTTTTACTGGGGCTGGGGCAGTTCAACTTGATTTGGGGGGGGGGTGCGCCATAGTTTATGGGCGCTGTACGCAATATAGGCGTAGTTCTGTTAGTATAAGATAATAAGATGTACTTTGTTGATCCAAAATCCGGAAATTGTGTTTTTTGTTGTTTTTTTTTTGGCGCCCCCCATTGATTGATGCGCCCTTAGCATTTGCCTATACTGCCTATGCCAAGGGCCGGCCCTGTACATTAGGAACAAGGGAACGTGGTAGTTTTCTAAGTTAGCAAAACATTTCTCCATGTTTTAATGTTCAAATGCTCTTCCTGCCCAGTCTGCTCTGATTGGTTAGCTGGCTGGCTCTGTTGTGATTGGTCAACCGCTTAGCCTATCACGTACAATGTGTTGTAGCGCTAGCCAATAGAGGCGTGAGTGTTACATGGTGATGTCATTATGTTCCGGAAGTAAACAAAGGAGTACAATGGAGTAGGGCTGCTCGATTATGGCAAAAATCATAATCTCGATTATTTGGGTCAATAACTGTAATTGCGATTATTCATTGACTTTGAAAACATCCATTTATTGGAGAAAAAAAATGTGAACAGTATGTTTTTAAGAGTTGATTACCCTAAACTTTAAATATAATTCAACTGAAAAACCAAAACAAATAAAAATTGTTAAAAAAAATAATATTAATAACAGAATAATCATTTTATTTCGATTACGTTGTTTTCGTAATCGTTGCAAGCCATAATCATAATCGCGATTAAAATACGATTAATTGAGCAGCCCTACAATGGAGGCGTTTCAGGCAAAGGGGAAGACAGGGATTGCAGCCTTTGCAGACCATTTACATGCACTAAAACCTATATAACACATTACAGGAAAGGGGAAACCCCAAAAAACTAAAATAGTTCCACCTTAACTCTATTTAGACTCACTATAAAGGACAATTGGACA